TTTAATTAACTAGATGCGTGCTTAAAATGACTGTATCGATGGTTTTACAAATGCGATCCCACAAAGTCATTGAAAGAAAAGCAGACTTTTTAGTATTATTATTTTAACCAAAATTCAATAAAATTAACTTTGCTTTTTCAGAAATAAATCCTTGTTTTCTTTGTTTACGCTATAACTTTACCGACTTGGTCCATCTTTTTTCCTGATACGATTCAATGCACAGAGGAAAAACATAGAGTAACTAATCCACGCTTATTCTTTGTTTATTAATAAGTTTCTAACTATATATTCTAGTGTTCTAATGCCTAAAAAAAGAAAGTTTTTGTGCTTTTCCAAACCCATCATTGATCATTTAGTTAAAATATCTATCTATATGAAAACACAACACAACAGAAACTACAATGAGAACTAGATGGCGCTGGACAGATCTAAAACGCGCTTTGGTTTTGCATTACTTTATGAATGGCATGTATGCCTGCGTACAGCGCCACCTATTATTCGCACATTAAACTATTTTTTGGTTATTTTAATTTTAGCATTTTCATCCTTGCAATACAATAACATTCTTTAATAATTTGATATTAAATATGGTGCGAAAGACCAATATTATTCTGATTCATTTTTGCTCGTCCTCGACCCCAGAGCAATGTTATTATTATTTTCTTTTCGTTTTTTGTGGAAAATTTGAGTGAGATCGTATTGTTTGCTGATGATACCTCTTTATTGTTTAAGGTTGACCGATACAAGAATAACTTTGACGATGTAAATAATACACTCTCACAAGTATTGCACTTAATGTAAATAACTTAAAATTATCTTCTATTTATCAGCACTGATGATATATCGCCTTCCGCGAAAAGTGCACTATCCAGCACATTTTTTTTAAATCGGTCCGTTAGCATAACCAAACAAATACCTAGTGATGCAACGAATACTACTTTTACGAATACAAATAACTCGGCAGAGTAATAAAACAAACATTTATTTAACCTTTTTTTGCCTATTTGTTTTGATAATCTAATAATTAATATTTAGATCTGCCAATTTTTTATTAAGAAAACACTACAACTGTAGATTGATGACAGAAAGGGCGATTTATTTTTTCAGTCGGATGTTACCTACTAGCCGTTGAAGAAAATCTATTCGAGGCGACTGCACATGGTTTGTATGAAAAATATTTTTGCGCAAGTGTTTTTCAATCTTGAACTGAATGGAACTTTTACCCCGTTTCAATTTTGACATATAATTATAAAATAAATAAATAAATATTTCCAACACTCACACCAATTAGCCTAGCCCCAAAGTAAGCACTGTAAGGATTGTGTTAAGGGATACTAGGGTAACGGATAGAATACTGTACATACATATATATTTATATAGAAATACATATTAAACATTCATGACTGGAGTACAAATGCTCGTGTTCATCACACAAACATCTGCCCCCACCGGGATTCGACACCATGAAACCCGGCGTACAAACCACTCGGCCACGAAGGTCGTCATGTATGGAATTTATGTCCAATTTGACAATTTTATTTTGTTGCACCTGGAGGTTTTTAACGGAGAGATGCGTACAAACTCAAGACATGTACAAAAGTATTATTTTACAGTATTCGTAAAAATTTATTCGGCGAATGAGTATTCGGTAAAAATCTACTATTATAATATAATTCTGACGACGCAGCCTGAAAGGTATGCGAAACATCATAAATAAATAAATCAGTACATCCAGGGTACCGTTGTAACTTGTTTTATTTAAATGTCTACAGTACCCTTAGTACGAGTTTGAGCTCACGAAAACTATCATAGTTTTCGTAATTGTAAATTATGTTTCTATGTCTATTTTGGTGAAAAGTAACCAAATATACTAAAAATTTAAGAAGACGCAAATGATTTAATGATAGAATTTTAACACTGTTTATTTGTATTGAAACGAAAACAATAAAATCAGTACCATTAGTAAGAATGCGAGCTCACGAAAACTATCAGTTTTCGTAATTGTAAAACTCGTACTAAGGCCGTATACAGAAAGAAAGCCGAAAGCGCTTATCGGCGCCGATCCTTCCTACATAAAGGAAGCCGATTAAAGCAGATCAAGCAAAATGTCGGACTCATCGGACGATGATCTGGTTATGTTAGAAAATGTGTATTTAAAAATGCGAAAAAAAACTTTACATCCTATAAATAGAGAAAGGAAACGTTTCGGAGAATACCATCATTTATTTGTAAAAAAATTGAAATTTGATGAACAAAGATTTTATACATATACAAGAATGATTCAAGAAACATTTTATTACATTTTGGATTTAGTGAAAAACCGTTTGATGAAAAATTGGTGCAATTGGCATAAACAACCAATCCTTCCAGAAGAAAGACTTGTTGTCACCATTCGGTAAGTACGAAACAAATAATTTTAGCGCTTAGTTAATAAAAGATAAAGTTATTAGATTTATAAAAAGATTATAACTTAGATTGATTTAATCTAAGGATAATAATTCAAATACAAATTATTTATTATTCGGACCAGCGCGTGTCGGCGCTTATCGGCGCCGGTCCATAGAAAAAGGATCAGCGCCAATAGGCGCCGATCGGCTTACGGCTTTCTTTCTGTATACGGCCTTAAGGGTACTGTTCGGCGAATACGAACATTCATATTTGATGCATCATTCATTCGTATATAATGGCTATGATACTCCCTTCCCTGTTGCTCAATTACCTTTCCTTGTAGACCAGTTCACGTTTATGTTCATCGCGCATTGTTAATACAAAAAGAGACTTTATTATTCGAATAACTGCGACTGCGCAGAAATCATGTGGTTTATTAAAATGTATTTTTTTATAAATATTTCCAACCCTCACACAACCCTAACCCCAAAGTAAGCTCTGTAAGGCTTGTGTTATGGGATACTAGGGTAACGGATAGAATGGATATGCATATACTGACACATATATAAGTATATTTATATAGAAATACATATTTAACATCCATGACTGGTGTACAAACGCTCTTCATCATACAAACATCTGCCCCCACCGGGATTCGAACCCGGAACCTATCGAGTCGACGACACCATGAATCCCGTACAAACCACCGAGGTCGTCAGAGTCGATTTAAATCGACAATCAAACAAATTCAATTAAAAATCAAATCAAACAAATTCTCAAACAAAGTGATTGAAGCCAAAACTTAGTCAGGACGCTACGAATGTGGGTATGACGTCTATATACACCAATTACTTTGTCTTTATAACGCAATAGGGGTGATGACGGGGTACAGTAAACGAAATTCTATTTAGTCCGTCAGTTAGATGATCAAAAAATAATGGACACGTATTTTTTCTTTGGGCAATCAACCAAAAATGACAAAGTTATAGCGCGTCAAAGTTTGGGAGTAGGGGCTCGTGACGTCACTTTTGAGTGAATTTTCACTTAAAAGTGTACTCAAACGTGACGTCATGCGACTTTTCAAATCAATATATCTCTGCAATGTTTATATTATGTGAAAAAAGAAAAAATACGTGTCTTATACTTTTTGACAATCTACCTGATAAACGAAGAAAAAAAAATAGTCATTATCCCTATTATCGGGAATAAAAATTATGCAATATAATTTTTTAAAATGTTTAATATTTCTAACGAAAATAATGATGTAGCTATGTTAATTGTACTGACAACTGAAAGTTAAATAGAAACATAATCGTGTTTGCACAATTAATTCTGTTACTTAATACGAAATATAAGTACTTACTTATTATATAAAATTAAATGCAATAGATAGTCGATCTAAAATAATAAAGGAGGCTCATCTCAGAGACTTAAATGCTAAATTTCAAATTTATATTAATATGCTGTACGATGCTGAAATAATACAAGGGGGCGGGCGTCCATAAATTACGTAAGGTGTTTTTTTTTAATTTTCTGTCCCTCCCTCCCTCCCCCCCGGCGAGTTGTCGTGAGATTTTATACAACCCTCTACCCCATCCCCCAATCTCACGTGAGATTTTCAAAATGTGGGTTTCTTACGTAAACTCGTTGGATTGTTATTGAAAAAAGAAAAAAAATTTGCTTCGTGCTTTTATTTACGACTAGTTAAGACTAGTAATATTGCTGAGAGTTTAAATCTTAAGCATGTACAATCTAGCTTAAATGGACCAAAATAGTATATATATTTTTTTTTGTTACAATCAGAAAAAAAAAATTGTGTGATATTTAGGCAGAGACCCCCCCTCTCTCCAACGTAAGATTAGATGAGATTTGACTCGAGCTCCTCCCCCCCTTCAACATCTCACGTAATTTATGGACGCCCCCCAATTCATATAAATAAATAAAGTCATTAAATGGTGGTATCCTTATTTACCCACTCGTTAGTTTTAAACATTTTATGAGAGATGAATAATTTTATATCTTTTAGAACACTAATCTTTAACGGGCCGTATATACAGTTGAATTTTTTCAACAGGACACATCTCAGATTTCAAATACAACTCACAAATCCAATTCTATAGAATTATTCTTATACAGTAAATCTATAAAATATAATGTTAAAATACACTGGAAAAATAGCTTTGGCATTTAAAATATTATTATCACTAGCAACTACTACTAACGGAAATATTAGGAATATTAAAAAAGAATGTTACTGTGTAATTTATACGGCATAATTACAAGCCGACGTTTACACAAATACATAGACTGCATCTGTGTAAAAAACCAGTATGCTATGATTTATTAAAAAAATACGTTAATGAGATTTCGAAATGATATGGCTCAACATTGTCTTAAAGAAATACAGGGTGTAAAAAGCCTATGACAAAGACTTAAACCACGCATTCTGTACACCCAAACAAGTCATATTATAAAATATTAAAGGTGGGAAAAATTTGGCTAAATTCTCGCTAGTTCGATTGAGAATTATTTTTCTCATTTGTTCGACCGTCGAACTAGTGAGAGTATTTGTTCTCAATTATTCCATTTCTTAGTTCGATTCGTTAACTTATTATTCCATTCGAGATACAAAAACAATAAATATAGATCGAACTAAGAAATAGAACAAGTGAGAACAAATACTCTCACTAGTTCGACGATCGAACAAATGAGAAAAATAATTCTCATTAGTTCCGATGATCGAACTAATAAATCGAACTAGTGAGAATAAAGGAAAATTTGTATTTTTAAGTTAAAAATTTTTTCCAGTACGCAATGTATAGCAAATATATAACAGGCAAAGAATGTGTCTGTGTGTATAAGTACGTCGATAAAAAAGTTTCTAAATAACGTTTTGAAAATATTAATGTATAAATCTTGAAAAAAAAATTTTGATCTTGACCTTCCAAAATACGTGGCCTTCGACTTCGTTATAGGGTTTTTTACACCATGTATAATAATTAAAAAGTATTAATAATAGACATACATAAATAAAAATCCCTTCATGATCAACCGCGTCGCTCACAACAAAAAAAATTGGTCACCTGAACCCGCGGGCTAAGCGGTATGTGGGCACAGTTGACCATGAAAACATAAAAATATTTAAATTATAATGTCGCTGCACTTAAAAACTTAATAATTATAAATCTATTTAATGCCGGCATTTCGCTTGGCTATTCATATTTGCTATTTGCAAAGTTGACAAGTCTGTCCTTATAATGCTTTGTGAGAATTGAAAAACACAAGACTGATATCAGGTTTACGAATACCGAACACGAATAGCCAAGTGAAGGGCCAGCATTAAAAAAATACATAGGAAATACGAATACACCAAATATAGGCAGACAATATTGCTCTTATGCGTAATGTAATAAGGTCGAGTTTGTTGGAAATAGGCCATTGCGTTGAAGTAAATTCAATAGCGACTTATGACTACGGTTAGTTAGTTCTAGCTGCAAAGTCGGCAATCAATGAATACATTTGAGAATTTTGCAACTAAATAGTATAACTTGTAAGATGCAGTACATATTTTTAACTAGTATGCTTGGCGACCACTTTCTTTTATGGTTTTGGTAAGTACCTACTGCAATAAAAACCTAAAAGCATCGACAATTTCAAAATCGGCGCGCCACTGATGTGAAAAACAAAAGAACATCGACAAAATTTGAAACCGCCGAACCACTGAAATGGAAAACAAAAGAGCATCGACAAAATATGAAATCAACGCGCTACCACTGTCATTTTTAAACAAGAACATGGCAAATTTTAAATTAGCCCGCCGCTACTGATACAAAAACAAAAGAGAATCGTCATCTTTTTTTTAATTTAAATCGTGAATTGCCATTGAAATGAAACAAAAGAGCATCAACGTTATTTCGAAAATAAAGAACATCAACATAATTGAAATTGCGCGCGCGCGTCCGACATTCGTCGAGTCTCGGGAACGCCTCCCAAATCAGTTGAGAATCAGTACTCGAACTCGGTCAGCGTTATCCACTCCTGTGCTTCGTTTGCGCGAACATGAACATTGATAAGTAACAAAACAATTATGCCATTGAACGACAAAGAACCCGTTAAGATGAACGACAAAGAATGTAAACAAAAGAGCATCCATAAAATTTGGAAATCACCGAGCCACTGGATATGGAAAACGAAAAAACATGCCGACGAAATTCAAAACCGGCGCGCCACTACTGCAATGAAAACAAAAGAGCATCGGTACTTTCAAAATCAGCGCTGTCACTGTAATTAAAACAAAAGAACGTCGCCAAAATTTCGAAACCATCGAGCCGTTGAAATGAAACAAAAGAACGTCAACGAGTTTTATTATTTTTTAAAATTTCGCGCGTCTAGAACTCGTCGTGCCTCGCGAACGCCTCCCCGAAGTCTGTGGCCTGCGAGCCGACGAACAGATCGTGCTTGTCGAGCACTTCTTGTTTCGTCAGACGTTCGTCCGCGTCGGCGTCCGCCTCGAATACTAAATGGCGTGCTTCGGCTTCGGCGTGGTCGAACTCGGGCGGCGCTATCCATTCTTTTACCTCGTCCGCGTCCATGTAGCCGTCTTTGTTGGTGTCCCTGAGATAACGACATTATTTTAGTTTTTAAGAGCCCTTTCATAGTTTTTGAAAAAAATCGTAATTTTTGAGCGCCTCGTTTACCCCCTTCGAAAAGATTTTGTCTGTTTCCAATAGAAGTAAACAGTAGATTTATTCTTCCTATTGTAAGTTAATATAGAATATTTGCAAATACTATTTTCCTTTTTTTGTACTATAATTCTACTGCAGCTAGTTTACGGAAAAAACGACAATATCTACAACTTCAAACGCCTCAATCTCTCAATAATGTTGAATAAATTAGATCATGTTAATTACTACGACATCAGAAATATGTTTTTGTTGCAACATAATGTATAAGAATTTTGATTTTCCGTCTCATTAATTATCAAAAAAAACATCTAACCTCCGTGAGTTTTTCCAAAAAATAATACAGGTTTACCTCGTAAATTTGATATTGAAATAAATAGAAATACTATCAAAAACTTTCATGAATTTATTCTACCATCATTGAACTACTGTAATATGAATATATTTTTATAATTAGTTCATTAATAGATATTTTATAAGACTCGAAACATCACCCGTAAAATGCAATATACATATACTAGTGCAAATCTACCTATGCGCCGATCAGTACGGCAGCGGCGCAATTTTGTAAAAGGGCTCTTAAACGGAGCACCCCCACCATAGGCCCCATATGAGGGCACCCGCTTATGACAAACTTATGTGTATACATAAGTTCCCTGTACTCATATGTGGCCTATGGTCTCTCTCTCTCTCTCTCTCTCTCCGCGACAAACATCTTGAGCAACGACCATGGACAAAAAAACCTGCGCAGTAGCAATAGGGTATTTGACAAGTTTTAGAAAACGATCTCGCGTCATTGACAAATATTTATGGAGTCCGTAAAAAGTGGATATTCATCATTCCGCTGTGTAGTTCAGTAAAACTAACCAAATAAAAAACTCCATTTTCAAGTTGCCGCGAAAACGTTTCTCTGGACAATATGGCGTCTCACTAGAGTGTTACGTCACACGACTGTTATTAAAACGTCAAAAGATACAATGTAATGTTAGCATTTTTATAATGTTAGCATTTTTTACAGATCGGTCAATAGTACAGTTATTGTTTTTATCTTAGTTTGTCTATGCTAAATCACGCCACATCACCTTACCTCCCTACCATCTTATCACGTGACGTGAAGGGGGGACGGACTAGCGAGTGGAGCGGTCATAAATACGGTATTCAGTCGAGAGCCTTCGTCGTGAATAGTGGTCCAAAATTTAACGTGGTGTTGCTGCTAAATATTCTTGTTATAATAATTTTAGTTTATATTACAGTGAAGTACAAGTTGAATAAAGCAAGTGGAAAATTAACATTGTGGTTTAACTTCTGGAAACTAATCTAATAGTTTCAGAAGCGGGATGGACTGAGAATATCCTGATATTCTCACTACGCCCAGAAAAAAACGCAAGTTATTTTTTATTTTACTTTTTTTTCTCATTCATAAGTGCTAATTTCATAACTCCTATATTTAAAGTTTCAAGAACGTTACATTTTTTTTTTATTATTATTATTTTACATGATCATACACGTCCCAATAATGCTTCTGCATGTATCCTGCCAGGGCTACTCCCTGGGGTTACGTGTAGTTGCTGTAAAAATACACACCTTACTGGGGCTACTCTCTGGGAGTGTGTAAATGAAGTTATAATCTTATTGTTTCTCTTGAATACTTTTGCATTAATTAATAGTAGCCTCCAGAGGCTATTGCCTGGGGTACGTGTAATTGTTGTCCAAATGCACACCATATTGGGACTACTCTCAAAGGGTGTGTAAATGTGATTATATATATATATATATTTTCTTCTTGAATACTTCGTGGGCTACACTGAGTTTGCATTAATGTGGCCATTGTGTAATTGAACACTGAGATATGATATAGCACTTCTCTATAAAGTATGTAATCAATGCAACTCGGTTTTGCATAAGAGTCCTTTCACATTTTTTGCAAAAAACTAGCCTCGAGCGCCTCGTTTACCCCCTTAGAGAGATTTTGACTATTTCCAATAGAAGTAAACAGTAGATTTATTCTTCCTATTGTAAGTTAATGTAGACTATTTGAAAATACTATTTTCTTTTTTTTGTACTGATCGTTCTACTGCAGCTAGTTTACGGAAAAACGATAATATGCACAACTTCAAACGCCCCAATATCTCAAAAAAAATTGATCAAATTAATTACTACGACGTCAGAAATATGTTTTTGTTGTAACATAATGTATGAGAATTTTAATTTTCCATATCATTATGGTTTCTGGTTTAAAACATTTATTTCTCAAAACAGAACACAAAATTCACTTACATGAGAAAACAAAAGAATAATCCAGTACGTGTGTATTTAGTTGGACATGCACACACTTATATCACAAATCACTATTGAAAAATGTTTTTTTTTTTACTATAACTGTTAATAATTTACAAATTGATGACTTAGTTCAAACAATGCATATAAATATTTGTTACGCAAACATCTGTAAAATGTGGGTAGTCCGTTTTCTGTAAGAGAAATCAAGTCTATATTACGTATCGAAATCCGTTTGCTATCAATAGCCGATACAAATTGCCTTCAGAATGATGTTAAGTTTTTATATGACGGCTGAGCTAGCAGTGGAGAGAAAGGACGCCATATTTTATGATATACGCATATATACATACATCTTATGCACTATTAAATTTATATATGTTTTTAAGTAATTTTTATTAATGATTTGATAATAAGGCATTTGATATTGTTGTTAAAATGATATTGAGTTATAATAGAATTACTATCAAAACTTTCATAAAACTAATCTACCATCATTGAACTACTGAAATATCTATATTTTTTTATAATTAGTTCATTACTAATTACTTTATAAGACTCGAAACATCTCCCGTGAAATGCAATATATACTAGTGCAAATCTACCTACGCGCCGATCAGTACGGCAGTGGCGCAATTTTGTAAAAGGGCTCTTAATATTTTTTTTCATCTGACTGGGGACTACCCTATGTGCTCAGATGTTATTTTTACTCATGTACATGTTACCTTATCTTCTAAGCGTGTTTTCATTATATAAGGCTGTTCTAATTTCATCCAGATTGAATGTGGTCAGTTGTCCCTTCGTACTCTACGAAAAATGACTTTTATTTTTTATGTACGCGAAATAATGTCCGTTTCAGATATGGAGGAATACAATAGAAACGGCTGTGAAGGTAGGCAGACGTTTGAATCATTTAATGACCTAGGAGTGCCTGGTATGGGCCGAGGTCTACGTAATGCGGACGACCTAGGAGTGCCTGGTATAGGCCGAGGTCTACGTAATGCGGATGACCTAGGAGTGCCTGGTATGGGCCGAGGTCTACGTAATGTTTTTTTTTGTTATCAAGGTATTAATTTGTACAATAAACTTAATAAAGAACTAATGTTATATCCGTTAACAGTAGGAGATTGTAAAAAATTGTAAAAGGCTGAGTTCAGGCATTAAGCTATTCAGACACAGAAAATCTACTTAGCCATCTAAAATAAATTCTGTTAAGTGATCAAATTTTTGCTTATAATAAAAAAATAATTAACTACCATGCATTTATAAACGTTTCTGTTTATCTCTCAACCTTTAATTTTTTGTTTTTGTATTTACCATGAATAAATATTATGTGTATACAGGTTCAATATGGTTATGAAGAACATTGTTATGTATAGATTATTTTCCAGGGGTAAGGACCTGGTGATCCGTAGTACAGGTTAACGCCGGTTTCGGACACCAGCTTCTTACAACGCCCAATAATATTACTTAAGTGTTGCTTAACCTGTATTTTATGTGCTTCAATTGTTGTAAGAAGAAATAAATAAATTTATTATATTATTATTATTATATTAATGCGGACGACCTAGGAGTGCCTGGTATGGGCCGAGGTCTGCGCAATGCGGAAGGCCTAGGAGTGCCTGGTATGGGCCGAGGTCTACGCAATGCGGAAGACCTAGGAGTGCCTGGTAAGGGCCGAGGTCTAAGGAATGTGGATGACCTAGGAGTGCCTGGTATGGGCCGAGGTCTACGCAATGCGGATGACCTAGGAGTGCCTGGTATGGGCCGAGGTCTAAGAAATGCGGACGACCTAGGAGTGCCCTGTTGTAGTGGCCGAGGTCAAAATTTAGAAAGTTCTGATGAGGTTGACTAATTACTGTTGTTTGTTTTATATAAAACTTTGTAACACCTTTTGGCAAAAGCGGAGCACAGATAGGATTTATATTCTAAGAGATTGCTTACTGTTGATCTATTAACCAGGAAACCATGCTGATGAGGTGATGGAAATGGCTTGAAATGTGAGTGGAGTGTCTCATATATTAGAGATTCAAGTGGCTTGGCAAAGCGAGACAAAATACTGATGGGTCTGTAGTTGCTGATTTGCTCTCTGTCACCAGATTTATATATGGGAATAACATATGCAGTCTTTCAAAGACTAGGAGGGGTGCCACACTCTAATGACTTATTGAGAAGTATGAACAGAGGAGCGCTGGGCTCATCGCGGCGGCTCTTTATAAAGTGAGGAGGGATTTGATCTGGGCCGGCTCCTTTACCAATGTCAAGAGACCGTATTTCTGCTTTAATGCTATCATAGTTTATCCTTGCGTCTGGCAGAAGCAAACCACGATTGGCTGTTTTGTTAGGCGAGTAGAGATAGCAGTTATTTTTTTCATGGACGGAACTAAAGTGTTTCGAAAACATTTCACATATCTCCTCCACATTTGAGGATGTGACGTCGCCGTGTGTCATGGTTCGGGGTATGCCAGTGGATTTTCTTTTGTCGTTTACATATCTAAAGAAGTTTTTAACATTAAGTTTGACGGAACTTTCAACAGACTCGAGATGGGACCTATAACATTTGTTCAAAAGTAACTTGCAACGAGCACGAAGCAAGTCAAGGGAGTCATAATCACGAGGGTTACCATATTTTTTGTACCGCCTGTGATACTTGGG